ACCAAAGCAGTATTCAGGTCCCAATATAGCAAAAGGATTAACCACCTGCTTAATGTTAATTAACCTCAGGGGGACTCGTGTGTACTTAAGGGTTTGTTATGTGCTTCAGCACTTCGCAGTATCAAGATGTGAAGCTGGCAGTGGATTCCTTCCCATGGTTTGCCATCAGACCCAGAGCTGCGATGAGACCATGTGATGGCCAAGCCACAGTGCTTGGTTCATACACGAGCTTGTGAGTGGGTTTTGCCTACAGAACATCTACCCCAGCTTTAGCCATTGGACCTGGGTCTCTAGCAGAGCTCCTGCCATCCCCATGCCACCAAAGGGGCCACGACCAGTGTGAGCATCTCCCTCCCATGCAGCACATGAGCTCTGTGACTTCACCAGCCTGGAGGCAACAATGAACCCCAAGGTGGGTTTTTTAAGGACAAACCACTTTCCAAAACTGCTAAGAAAAGAGCAAAATAGGGTTGGAGAGGTACGAAGAGGACAGAAGGATGGTCCAACTGCTAAGGCAGGACAAACACAGCGTTGCCAGCACTTAGATGGGAAATTCCACCCAAGAGCTGGTTGGTGTACCAGAGCAGCAGATAGGTGGTAGAGAGGGAAGGGCAAAGAAAATTATAGACCCGATTCCTAGAAAAATGTTAGAACAAATCATTTAACAATTGCTAAGTATTGAAATGATAATTAGGTGATATATACCCAGCGAACACTGCCAAGACCAACTTGCATGGACCAATCTAATTTCGTCCTGTGACAAGATAACCAACCTAACAGACAAGGAGAAAGATGCACGTGCGATAGTATCTTGAGTACAACTCTGGCCAGTGTCCTGCACAGTATCTTCACGAGCAACTGAAGGAAAAATGGTCTAAATGAAGTCATAGTAAAATTAAGCATTGCCAATGGTCCCTTGAGCGCACCTAGAAACATTGCACCTCTGGAATAAGAAATTACCCTCACCCTTTCAAATCTGGCATTTAATGTCCAATGTACAGTAAGGTTGATAAAAGCAGTGTTAAAAATTTCCTGGCTTGTGGCATTTTAATTCAAGCTATTTGAATTCCCTGACCTCTATGCCTCCCTGTGTACAGCAGGTTTTGTTCATTTTCCCCACAAAAAGACAGTTTTGGGAAGACAGGTTGAACATGGTAGAGAGTGCATGTTACACGCATCAAAATCGTAAGAATTCAGAGTTTAATTGCTACTGCTGTACAGTGTTTGGTCTCCGTTTATTTCAGACATGTCACATAACTTAAAAAAAAAATCTTTTGAAGTAATTTCAATCTTTTTCATTTCTCAAGTTAAAAAAATAAAAACAAAAATAAAAAACCCAACAACTTTCTACTACCTACTTTCCAACTTCTCCATGCCAACACCAATGCACAGCTAAAGCCCAGAGAAGGTCCTACAAGAAAACAGCAGAACACTTGGTTTTACAGGGATTTTTGGGAGCAGAATGAGGAGCGGATGCAGATGCTGCTGGAGGAGGTTGTAATTCACAACTGCAGAGCAGGGACATGGCTTACACCTCCACCTGCCACTCCTTGCTATTCTTCAGTGGCTGTGGGACGACACTGCCAACCCCCAAAACCGCTATACTCCAAGTAATCCTGGTGGTCTCCCTTGTGACACACCTTAGGGTGCTCTCCAGTTAAGGTGGGGGGGGGGGGGCGGGAAGTATACTGGGTTTTTTTTCCCCAAGAAATCCTGGATCTCCAGCAACACCACCAAAAGCAGAGTTTGAACCAGAGTTGTCTGACACCCAGGAGTCCCAGGCAAACCAAATTCCCCAAAAAACTGCCTCCGGGATTCCTCCCAAAACTGCTGCAAACGGAGCCTGCGGATCTCTCTAATTAGGCTGGTCAGCAAGGGCAGCCGCCACACGGCCCAGTGATGGGCTGTAAGCCCATCCATCATCGCGTCAGCCCAGGGCCAAGGGAAGCACCTTCAAGTAATTAATCTTTCCCAGCCTGGGGAGTGCATTCGGATTGAGCATGGAGGAAATGCAGCCAAGATGGACAGACGGGTATTAGGACAGAGGACACCCTCTTGGTAGTATCACCCTTTATTAAAAAAAAAACCCAACAAAAACCTGAGCCCACTTTTCTTTGCTCTCTTTCATGAAATTAAAGATTTCAAAAATGAAGTCCCCAGCAGTTCTTTTTTTCCCCATCCCACTGTATGACCACGTGCTGTGACAAGCCTCCAGCTCCTTGGGCAAGCTGGGGCTGCCAAAACCTGCTTGTTCTTTGTGTGTGACTTCCATGCCAATTTATTACCGAAAGGCTATTAAGCAGTGCCATTCCCACCACCTTTACTGGTGCAGGATCTCAGGGTTTTCTGTTGGATGCCTGAATATTACCGCTGGACTACACACCACTGTCAGACAGTAACTATCTGCAGGGATGCTTGTACCTGTTTTTATTTATTTATTTGTTAGATATAAAAAGAAGAGGTTTAGAGCACATGCAGAACATGTCCATCAGGGTCTCCCCCCCCTGCGAGCAGACATACGTATGCCGGCAGGAAGGCCACGCTCTTTTGTTCCAGCCATACCATGATCTAATACAGTGGGCAGTATTTCTTAGCAAGCCAGTCATTCATCTTTCAGAAGCAGGAGGCAGACGATTAATGTTGCATTACCCTCTCCTGACACTTAAGTAATGACAATATTTGGGGATACTACAACAGAAGACATCTGGCATGTGTTACTCAGTCTCCCATGGCGAAGGGGCATGGGGAGCTACGCAGGTTCAGATGTAACGTCTCTGATTGCGACACACAGAAAGGAGAAAAGTTTCTCCAAGTTGCCCTTGGCCAACGCAATCAGGTTCCTTCCCTTGCAATCCTTTCCACAGGGACACCTAGCCAAGGGACCAACTCGGTATTTAGCAAGTCCACAACCACTTTTGGCTTGCTGGAAAAATCAAGCCTGGAGGACCTTGGAGATGTGTCCATCGCAATGCCACCCGACATGACGTGTGCACATATAAAGGGGAAGCCAGCACTCAACTCCAAGACATAAGCCAACATGTTAACAGGCTCCGGCTGGGCAGCCGACAGCCCATGGCTGTCTCAAGAAAGCTGATGTTTCTGCATCAGCTGCTTTTTGCAATCCACTGAGGGTGGCTTCAGCGTCACATCGGTAACCACCAAATGATGGGCAAGCTGGACACAATGAGGTATCTCTTCAAATATTTAGAGATTGCAAGTGTCTTGAATTATTCTGTGCATTTGCATTAAAAATAGTGGTCCTTTCATACAGCACAATAAGTATTCACGTTTTTTTAACCTAAACTACAATTCACTGAGATTCATCATTTGTCTAGTCCACATTTCAATTCTCTTTTCTTATGGTTCTTTCATTGTGCCCAAGTATCCCATTCTTCCTTGCTTTTATGCCTTTAATTTTGCCTTGTAGAATAGCCTAAAAATCACTATTTACAACTGAACAGACAACTCGCACTTACTTCAATACCTTCTCCCTTTTCAAAGGAAAAAAATCATAATTACACCCAAACTCGTAAGAAAACAGAAAACCAGGAGAAACCTCTATGCTTCTTTTATATTTCCATCCAGGGGGAACAGCTATTTACAAAACAACGAAATGTTTCCTGAAGAACATTTGCAACCCTCAAAACTTGAAAACCAAGTCAGGCTGCATTAATGAACAGCCCAGTCGAAATCAAAGGCAACTGAAGAGAGGGGTGATGTTCTTCCCCGGTGCAAAGCGGTAACACAGCCCTTTGCCATGTTACAAGGTCCCGTTTCCTGATGCTTCTGCAGAGGTCTGAACTCCCAGTCACGTCTACACCATAGCCACTGCAGCCTCACCCTGCAGTGCAAGCCAGACCCAGGACCAAAATTAAATGCAAGAACATGCTCCAGCTAACAAGGCTTGCTGAAAGCCAGACTAGATTAACCCAGATCTGACCCTACAGCAATTGCCCAGATCGGGATCTGGCGCACATCTGGGCAGCTGGAGATGTGGTCTTATCTGCCCATGCTCACATGGGCTGGCCTCTCAAACAACAGCTCAGAAGTGGGCAGGATGAGACCTACCTTCCACCTCCGTGCACGAACCAGCCCCATGTCAACAAGGACAACCGTCGCACTACCAGTGTTCTGGCAAAGGATGCCTCCTACAACGTGCCTGCGTCAAGAAGGGGACACAGTAGAGTCAACGCCTTCAACACACAAAAGCAGGAGGTTATAATCATTAGCTGCGCTCCATGCTATGACAGTTACATTATGAATTTGCTTTTATGAAGCGCAGCTTTGACTTGCATATTTGGGACCACTTCAGATACACAGGTTGACACCTGGATGCTTTTCTCTTTCTACTTTAGTGTTTCTAGAGTCCTTCGGGGCAAGGGGGAAACAGGTAAGAAAAGCACATCTGGTCTTTGCTTAAAAACATGCCACAAAAATAGAATCCACAGTCATTTGCAAGACACTGTTTATGGTTTCAGCATTTCCTGAGCAAGTTTTTGACCCTGTTGCCACATCCGTGCACATTTCCCAGATTCAAGCAGCCTTCACAGCAGTTAAAGTTACCCTCTGTGGAAGCACAGCCCACTGTCCTTTGCACATCTTCTCATTTACTCCCATCATCTGTGTGCCTACCGCCAGCCACAGAGCCACCTTTTGGACAAATTTCTTGCAAAGGTTCTGGGTAGATGAGGAAAGTCATGAGCAGGTCTAAAGAATATGCTACATTTCTTCTTGTAGTCCCCCAAAATACCTCCAGAATCCTCATCAGCGCTGCTTTTCCACGTTGCAGCCTCAAGTCCTGAGCATGGTAAGATGTGGTGCCTCACCATACAAATCGAACCCAACAGAAGTTTGGTTTTCACCTTTGAAAATCACTATCAGAAATGACCTCTGGAGTGAGTGTGATATTTATACATCAGCCACACTGAACATGAGCAAGAAAAACTTCAGTCCCCAGGGAGTCAAGTAGAATAAATTACAGCAAGGGATCAATATTTTACCGAGAGGTTGATAGCCTTGTCTCGAAGGGCCTCCAAATGGATTCCTGCTCCCAAATCCACTCCCATCAATGGATCCATAAGACATTTTCTAGATAGCAATGGATGCAGGATTATACTTCAAACCTAAGAAAACAGAGAAAAAGACAGATACAACACTGTTAAAAGTCAGTTAAACTCCAGTATTCTAAGAAAAAAGGAAAAAAAAAAAAAAGGCAAATGAAAAAATACAGGACTATCTCTAAACTTCACAGTGCCTACCTGCAGAAAAAAAAAAAACCACACTAAAATCCGGGTCTCCTGGACTACAGCTGATCTTGGGGCAAACAAGTCATTTGACCTCCCTGTGCCTTATTTTCTCCAGTGATAAAGGGCAACCATTTATCCGTTTCAGCCACGGCAAGACTTTTAATTCCTTGCTGTTCACAAAGTGCTTTGAGATCCTGAGCTGGTAGGCAAAGACTAGGCACTCGATCAAAAAAAGGTAATGCCGTCTTCTGGAACATTACCACTACGCAGCTGGTTAGGAGTCTATCCATCATACTGCAGTCTTGATGAGCTCTCAAAAGAGACAGTTTACTGCCATATTATGAGCTCCTGGGCCTTTAGTATAAATATTGGAGCCAAAGTTATTTTTCCTTGCTCGTTTAAAAAAAAAAAAACAACAAACTGTAAGGCCTTAGGTAGCAGCAGCAGAATGAAATCAATGCAGCACTGTCAGAGAAAGACTGCTTCTTCCTCCTTCCCATCCACAAACGTTGTCTCACCATGGGCCCCAGATACCCTCCAGCATATCAGCAGAGTCCCAGGACTTAGATATTAAAAATAGTTCAACTCTGAGGCATGGAGATGACAGTGGCAAAGGAAGAGAAGAGATAAAGGTGCTGCATCAGTTGGGGCATGATACAGGACCAAAACCCAGCTGCTGCTTCCTTACACCAAGACTGAAAAAACACCCCAAGCAGGGAAAATCTGGAGGCTGAGGATAGAGACTTATTCCCCAAAAAAGGTAGAAGACAACACTACCTACTGGGTAGTCCATCATCAAGCAGCGATGCAGTGATGCTGCAGTATGGCAGCATGGGAGAGTCCAGTGGAGAAGACACGTTGGCGTGAGATGACTAGGAATACCACCTTCCCTCCATGCAGGGAGTTGCTCTGTCTTATAAATGTCACTTTTTAACTGAAGGACAACCAAAAAAACCTGGGCCAACGAACCACCCTCTCCAACAAGCATATGCAACCCCTTCAGCGCGATGGCAGAATCATAGAATGGTTTGGGTTGGAAGGGATGTCTAAAGGTCATCTAGTCCAAACCCCTGCAATGAGCAGGGACATCTTCAACTACATCAGGTTGCTCAGAGCCCCGTCCAACCTGACCTTGAATGTTTCCAGGGATTGGGCACCTACAGCCTCTCTGGGAACCTGGTCCAGTGTTTCACCACCCCCACTGTAAAAAATTTCTTCCTTATAACTAATCTGAATCTCCCCTCTTTTAGTTTAAAGCCATTCCCCCTTGTCCTATCGCAACAGGCCCCACTAAAAAGTCTGTCCCCATCTTTCTTATAAGCTCCCTTTAAGTACTAAAAGGCTGCAAGAAGGTCTCCCCAGAGCCTTCTCTTCTCCAGGCTAAACAAACTCAACTCTCTCAGCCTGTCCTCATAGCAGAGGTGTTCCAGTCTCTGATCATTTTTGTAGCCCTCCTCTGGACCTGCTCCAACAGGTCCATGTCTTTCTTGTACTGAGAAAGATGTCGGGGTGTAAGGCTGGATGACATGAGATGCAACGCTCCGTCCTGGGCTTGGACACTCAAATTGCACGTGGCCTGGACCAGCCACTTTCCCTCTGACATGCATAAAGCTGGGAATGGCCTCCAGCTTGTAAGAGCTTCTTGACACATGGCCATGTGTTGCATGATGTCCTGACGTATGCACTGCTAGATGCCCCAGCAAAGGGCTGAAGTCTCTTTTGGGGTGCACTGACACAGCGGTGTACTTGCAACTACGTTCTCTGGTACTCTGAGAGCAGAGCACCAGAAAATTCCCAGTTCTGGACTGTACTGGGAAGAGTCTAATGGTCTCAGGCACTTCTTGTACTCCAACCCAAACTATTCTATGATTCTATGATTCCTTCTCCTTTTTTCTCTCAAAGTTTCAAAACCAAGCAAAAAATTACTGCTAAGATTTGCCAGACAGGGAAACTCCAGGACTAAAGGAAATCGCTCACCATCCTCCCTTAATTAGGACAGACACATAAGAGGATGAAACTGCTTTGAGAAAGCAATGGATGGGAGCTAAATCCATTAAAAGTGGAGAAAATCCAGAGTACAGCTTCCCTACCCAGCCTCAGTGTACCAGGTACACACATAATTGGCATCTGAGGCTGCAGGTACCCCTAGACCATAAATCTTTCATTTTAGGAAAACGGTTTTCAGTCCAAACCTATGGCAGCCAACGTGCAATAGCCCAAGCAGCCAGAGAAAGGATGAGTACGTGTATTTGTGTGTGCATAGAGGAGACAGAAAATGAAGTAAACAGAAGGGAAAGTTAAAAGAAGCCATCTGCGAACCATGGGTTTCCAAGACACTCAACAACACAACAGTCGACTATGTCAAGCATGTAAAAATATAAGCACCACAAAAATATAATAGATGATGTCTTGACGGAAGTTCTTCATCACAACCACTAACCACTACAAGAAACAGATGAAGATTCACTTGGGAAGTCTGCGGTGGACTTGGGAAGAAATCTTGCCTCTCCCAGGTCTCAGGTTAGCCCACAACTACCACAGTAACACAACCTCCATTGCAAAATACAACCCAAGATCCAGGAAAACTCTTACCTGGAAAAATAAAGGCACATAGAAGACAGTTACAGGAACATTTCTGGGCAGGGATAAGGAGTTATCTTATTTTCTTTACCTCCCAGCACGGCTACAGATTAAGACTGTTGTAAGCAGGGAAGTGGGACAACCACAGCTTGAAAACCACCTCTGTACAGAGGTTGGTCCTGACCCATCCTTTCTTTTTAGAGATAAGCAAGTGGAAGCATTTGCTGCCACGACGTCCCCAAGGTCACATACAACAAACGTGGAGTGAAAGTCTACACCATGTTGTAAAATGACTTGATTACAACTGGGCAAGTGTTTCTTTGGCAAACAGTGAATGCATCTATTTTTTCCCCAACAGAGTGGTGTGAAAGGGGGAGAGAAGGAAGGCTTTTAGAGCACTCCAAATGTTTCATGTTGATTTATCATTTTCAAAGCATGCTTCCATTTTAAAACTTTTTCTCCCTGTAAGGGAAAAAAAAAAAAAAGAAAGAACTGAAAATGAAATATTTTGTTTTAGTTTAACCAACCTTTTCAGAAACAACCACTCCCACCCCATCCTACTAAGCCACTGAAATATCCCTTATTCACACAGCTCCAGAACCACACTCCTACCCCACAGTAATATATTTACAGGAAAATTTAACAGCAGATCTAAATACCTTTAATTTGATTGGCAATAAAAGCGTTTCCCTCCCCATTCCCATGGCACCTCCCAAGTCTTTTATCTACTGCTCCTCAGGGAGACATGTCCAATTTACTGTGAAGGCAGTTTGTACAACATGGAACAAGCGTTGCCTAACATACTAGATACAGAAAAAATAAAAATAAAAAAAGGAGAAAAATAAGAAAAAGATTTTATCACAGCTTTATCCTCATCACCTAAAATACCAACGAAGGAACAACAATACCCAAACCAGACTAAAAGGACATTCATCCTGCCAGAGGCATGAATTTGCATTTTAATGACATGCAACTACTTCTTGCTTTGTATATCCTGTAGAAGTCAACCATGCAGTGAGGATAATAGTAGGATGTAGGATCTCAAGGAAAAGGTTGGTTCATGTTTCTTGTATTGGGAAAGATACTGGCAGGCAAAACCAAGCGGGAAAAATTATTTAAAAAATTCCCCTCTACACATCAGTCTCCATTTCGAGGGACATTCAGATGGCCAGCATAATTGGTAGTAGGAATGAAAGGTAAAATTTCAGCATGGAAGAAACAGGTTAGAGAGCACTTTAGGCAAGTGAGATGTTTTTAAAGTTGAGTCTGAATGAGAAAGACATAAGCATACTGGAAAGAAATGGAAAAGGAGGACAGACATGGACATATTGGAGTGAATCCAGCAGAGGGCCATGAAGATGATTAAGGGATGGAAGCATCTGATATATGAGGAGAGGCTGAGGGAGCTGGGACTGTTCAGCCTGGAGAAGAGAAGACTCGGGGGGGTTATTAATGTGTATAAATATCTGATGGGAGGAAGTAAACACGACAGAGCCAGACTGTTCTCGGTGGTGCTCAGTGACAGGACAAGAGGCAATGGAAATGAATTGAAATATGGGAAATTCCACTTAAAAAAGAAGAAAAGCTGTTTGTTTTATTTGTGGGTTTTTTTTATGGTGTGGGTGGTCAAACACTGGCACAGGTGGTGCAGAGAGGTTGTGGAGTCCCCATCCTTGGAGATATTCAAGCCCTGACTGAACATGGGCCTGAGCAACCTGCTCTAGGTGACCCTGCTCTGAGGAGTGGGGTTGGACAAGATGACCACCAGAGGTTCCTTCTCACCTCAGTGGTTCTGGGATTCTGTGATTTTCCTCCTGTGATGCCTGAAGCAGCTTGAGAGCCACTCACAGCCCACTTGGCAGACCGGAGGACCCTTACTGTGCCTATTTACTAAATGGGTGGAGAAAGGAAGAGTAAGAAAATTGCAAACCCATCAGCTGCATTTCCATCTCCTTCAAAAACACTGGAATAAATTCACTGAAAGTATCTGATGGTAAAAAAGAGAATAACAGCCAGCATGCATCAGGCACTAAGTCAAATTAAACCAATGTTAACTTCTTTATGCAACAAGTTAGCAGGCAGTGGAGTTAGCAGAAAAACAGTAGATATTACAGCTTTATGTGATTATGTGTTTCCTTGCACGGCAGAAGAAATGGATTGGAGGTGCAGGTGAATTTTTTTTTTAATTAGAAAAATGCTCCCAGTGGACTGTTGTCATAACCAAAGAAGAAACTGTGTGGGGTCCACCAAGCTCTGCTCTCTCCCTTTGTATTTTGAGCAGTGACTTGGGTGATGGA